TATGCACCAACGTGAATGGATCTCAAAAACATTATTTTGAGCACAAGCAATCATATACAAGAGTATGTACCATATGACTTAAGTTAAAACTGGTTGCTTATGGAATGTGGAGATTGGCTGGAAGGGAACATGAGAAAAATTTCTGAGGTGATAGAAATGTTCTATATATTGACTGGGGTTGTGATAATAAAGATGTATATATTTGTGAAAACTCACTGAAGTACTAAAGTCCTGTGCATTTAAGTGTATGTAAATTTTATCTCAAACAAAATAAAAGAAAAAATGAGAAAACATAAAGGCCAAAACACATGAATAGACAATTCACAAAAAAAAATGTTCAACCATTTATAACAGAAATGCAAGTTAAAACTTCACCAAGCTGTTTCTCATATATCAGACTGGCAAGAATTTAAAAGATTGATATTATATTCTGACAGCAAGTGTGTGGAAAAACAGTCTTATACACTTTTATGGTGAGAAGTTTGGCAACACCTAACAAAACTGTATATGCATTACCCTTTAATCTAGCACTCTCACTTCTAGGAAGGTATCAATCAGTAAAAAATACCACAAATTGGGTGGCTTATAAATAGTAGAAGTTTATTTCTCACAGTTCTGGAAACTGAAAGTCTGAGATGAGTGTGCAACACGGTCTGGTGAGGGCAGACTACTTCTATCCTCACACAGTGGAAGGGGCTATAGAGCTCTGTGGGGTCTCTTTTATAAGAGCACTAATTCCATTCATGAAGGCTCTGCTCTCATGACCTAATCATCTCCCAAAGGCCCTACCTCCTAACATCATCACATTGGGCTTTAGGATTACATGTCAATTTTTGGGGGGAGACAAACATTGAGACCATAGCTATACCTGTGAGACACACCTCTAATAATACAAAAATACATGCACAACAGGTTATTCATTATTGCATTACTTATAGTTGCACAATATTGAAAATGGCCTAAATGCCTCAACATTGGGAATTGACTAAATAAACTAGGGTTCATATACATAAATAATATGCAGCTTTAAAAACAGTGACAAAGATCTCTATGATACAGAGTGATTTCCAAGATGTATTGTTGTACCAAAATGAGTACAAAATAACTTCTGGTTTCAGGTTCTGCTGGCAAGGAGCTTAGAAGTCCTCAGTCCATCCTAACAACAAATAAAAGGCCAAACAGATTGAAAAACAAGAACTCGTTTTGGATCCAAGAGAGGTGAGGACATAGGGCAAACTGCTGCCTCGAAGACTGGAGAGACAGGTAAATACCATCACAGCTTCCTAGGGCAGACATTCAGGAGTGTAATCAGCACAGGGTAGGAAAACCTGAAGCATAATTGACACTTGCTGGAGGTTAAGTGTGAACAACTTTGAGAGTTAAAAACAGGGGAACCCAATCAGAGCAAGGCTCCCACATTATTGTGAGATTTATGTCCAGAGACTGACCAATTTCCCACAGCAAAATATTGGAGGAAAAAAAAATCCCCTTGGGCTTCAGGCATGGGGAGGGGAAAAGAAATTTTGAAAAATGCCAGAGAGCTCAGTTCTTAACAAGGTCTGCTCTTAGGTGAAACTAGTTCATCAGAGCCTAACCTACTGGATATTATGGTAACCTATTTAAGCTGGAGGAAGGGCAATACCCAATTCCAGCCAGTTCTAGCCATTCTGTCCCATCTAAGGGAGAGAAAAAATCTGAACTCTTGTGAAGTTCACAGTCAAAGCAAAGGCTCACTAAAAGAATAAGACCTAATCACAGGACTATAGAATACTTCCCCTCCCCACACACCTTACCATCACATTGCTAAAGGTTTATTTAAAGCAGTTCCCTTACCTGGTACATACTGTACAGCTATCAAGAGAAAATTACAGGGCACACCAAAAGGCAAAAAACACAATTTGAAGAGAGAGAGCAAGCATCAGAACCAGACATGGCAGGGATGTTGGAATTGTCAGACCAGGAATTTAAAACAACTATGACTAATATGCTAGTTATTATTTAATATCCTAATAAAAGATGGGCTATGTAAGTAGAGAGATGGAAATTTTAAGAAAGAATCCCCCCAAAATGCTAGAGATAAAAACAAAACAAAACAAAGCAAAACACTGTAACAGAAATGAAGAATGCCTTTGATGGACTTAGTAGGCTGGACAATATCTGGGCTAGACAATAGATTAATAAAATCCACAAAAACCAAAAAGCAAAGAGAACAAGAACTGGGGAAAAAAAAAAAAAAAACTAGAACAGGATATCCAAGGATGATGGGACAACTACAAAAGGTTTAACATATATGTGATGGCAATACCAGGAGAAGAGACAAAGGAGCAGAAAAAATATTTCAAACGATAATGAGTGAAAATTCCCCAAGTTAATGTCAGACACCAAACCACAGATCTAAGAAGCATAGAGAACACCAAGGAGGATAAATGCCAAAAAACTACACATAGTCATATCATTTTCAAACCATAGAAAATCAAAGATAAAGAAAAACCTGAAAGAAGGTTTGAGGTGTTTGTGTGTGTGTATGTGTAGAGAGGTCAGCATTTTTGAAAAGCTTCCCAGATGATTGTTTGGTATAGCCAGGTTGAGAACAACAGGAATCAAAAACAGATCTCAGGATAGAAAGAAAAGCATAAGAATTCATCAATTTTCAAGATCTTATCTTGCTATATAAACATCAAAATCTCTATTCTATCCTGGTGCTTAGTTCCAACTAGTTTCCTTCATGACTACATCAGCTATGGAAAGAAAGATGGAGGTTTCGTCTTTACTCGGTGAGTCATGTGAACTTTTGCTTTGGGGAGAACTGAATTCCTTTAGGATTAGGTGCTCCTTTAAGCATTTTGTGGTATTCCCACCCACTCCCTTTCAGTGAGGTCAGTAATTGGGAATACCCCAAAGAGATTTCTCCATCATCCTGATTTTACTGGCAATAGCACAATCACTTTAAAAAAAATAGATGTGTTAGTGAGGCAAGGAAAGAGAAAGGAACAATGGTGACTAAGTTACATCGTCACCCTACCATTTATACACATGCAGGTTTGTCTTGTGTATTCCCGATTTCCAGGTCAAAATGTTCTTTTTGGATTTTTATCTACAGGGCAGGGAAGCCTTGGGGTTTTTTAATGGGACAGTTTTGATGATGTGATGTTTCTTATTTTTAATAAGGTCAGCTAGTAAGGAATGGCATTCTGGACAAACACAAACAAGCATTAAATTGATATCATAGGTAATGGAAAAACTTTTTTTTTTTTCATTTTCAAACCTAGTATCTCTTCAACTCATACACAATCAGAAGTTAATCTTTGCAAACCATCGCCCGGAAACTTGCTGTGTGAGCTGACAGGGTTGATTTGGTTGCTAGTGGGGAAAAAGAAGACAATAATGTAACTGGTGAAAAGGAAGGCTCCTTTTTACATGTCTAGTCAGCAGCTGTAGTCTTACCCCAGTCACTACCAGGAGCTATCAATTAACTTCCTTCTAACTTTCTATCTTCATCCATCTGTCTTCAGAACTGTTGGAGGGGGTCTGTGTGAGTGAGTAGAGGTGGAAGGGATTATCATCTCAAATTGCTTGGGTCTATTTGGACCTAAAATATGGCTTAGAGCTAAAATATGGCCCATCATTTAAAAGAAGCTCCAGTGCTGAGGATCTGCCTTATATTCTGGAACTTATTTTCCCAGTCTGCCAACTATCCTGTTAGCATCTATACCTGTTCCCAGTTTGTGTTCCTTCCATTTCTTCTATCTGGAGAAATTGTCCTGTCCTGCTTATACACTTCCTATTTTTTTTCCATGAAGTCTCCCTAGATCATTTTAGCTGTCATTGCTCTGCAGTCTTCTAAAGCTTTTGCAGAATGCACCACAAAATTTAAAATAAATTCTGTTTATAGTGGTTGTTACTACTTCGTATGTATATGTCTTGCCCTTCTAACAAAACTTTAAGCTTTGTTAAACTTTAAGGGACTTAAAGAAAGGAATATTGTATACTTCTGAATCTCCTCAGCATCAGGCATAACACTGAGCACATTTTAGGTCAAGACTTTAGGTAATAATTAACTAACCTTGAGCTACAGAGATTTTGCATAATAAATTATCCTGGCTTGAGTGTGGTGTTTTCTGTTGGGATCTTGACTAATACAAAATGATATATTTTAGTTATAAAATGGGATGTAGTCATTTTTAAAATGCTATGACTTTTTTTGTGTGTGTGAAGCCAATACTCCTTTTGTAAAGTGGAGACTCACCCTTTAATTTATCATTTATGTAACATCTATAATTTTTTTAGTTTTTTACCATGACAATTCTACATAGAACTAAGAAAAAATTAATAAATAGCAAAACGATGGAAAAAGATGACATTTTGCAGACAGTTTTCTGATGCACTCTGAACACAGATCTAGATGTGTCTGGCTTGGGTGGTAAGGTGTATGGGTTATTAAGTCCTCAGTTTCCCTCCCTCATTTCAATCTCAACCCAGAGTTTGTCTTTCTCCTTCCCTTGCCTTCCACTTCTCCACAGGGACAGGGTTGCAATCTGAGCTCTGAGGAGATATTGTGGATATCAGACACTGGAGCCCCTTTTGGTCTGAATGAGTCATTACAGTTTCTACCCTCAGAATTAAACTCAGTGGTGGTCTAGGCACTCTCTGTTCTATGACCTTATATGGTATTGCTCTGCATGATTCTTTAAATGATTCAAGTCCTCTGAAATTCTTCCCTGAGTATTTCCCAATTCATCAAAACCTCAGAAAAGATTCTGGTTTGTAATGCTGACTAACCATGTCTGCTTAATTCCCAAAATAATAGAAAAATGGTTACTGTATGTGATTCAGCATTGTATGAAAATAGAAGATTACAAATTGTTCCAATGGTTATAAGTATTAGATGATTACCATGACTTGCTTACAAAGTAGCTGGAGTCAGAATTAGTTTTTTTTTTTTTCCTTTTTCTTTTTCTTTAAGTAAGACCAACACGAGCTTGAACTCACAACCCTAAAGTCAAGACATGAGCTTATATCAAGAGTCAGCTGCTAAACTGACTGAGACACTCAGGCACCCCGGTATTGGTTTCTGATCTGCAGCTGAATCTGACATTGAGGTGAGCTCATGGAGAACTATGTGCCAATTTTAATGTTGTATATAATTTCTTTCTAGCTTCCCAAGCTTTCTTTACATTTAGGGCTGCTGAGCTAGCACTTTTATCCTTTGCAGGCATATTCTTACTAACTCATGTAATGGGTGGAGGCCAAAAAATAAACTGTCTCCAAAGGGACCAAGGCTACAGGTGAAGTAGACATTCCTTCATGGTGACTGAGACTGACTGAGCCAATGGCCAATGAGACTAATACTTGTCTTCAATTTAGGGATAGGGAAGGGATAAGGCAGAGATTTAGACATCAAGTCTCCTACCCTGAATATATAATCCAGTGATGTTTTCCAACACTGAGATCATCAGAGGCAAGGATATTGGACAGTGTTCCTGCTGTGGGGAACCTAAACATGTATCTCCCTAACTCCAGCAGAAAGGGGTATGGAGTCTCAGGAGAGGACAAATTGCTGAGGATAGGGTAGTGAACTCCCATCTTTGAATGGCTCTAACTATTTGGAAATATTCTTTTATATTTGGTATTTAGATTTATTGTATTTAAGCTTTCCTTCTGTATGTGTCCTTGAAACTTTTGTCCAGTTTATTTGAAAAACTTTGAGGACATACTGGTCTATACTTTGTATAACTGTGCCTAAATTTAGCCAATAGAACCTCTAAGGAGATGGGAAAAGATCTTGAGTATGATTTGGCAGTTTGGGAAAGTAGGAGGACTATGGCATTTTATTAATGGTCATAAATAGTATATTTTATTATGTAACAAACTTTACTTATTTTGCCCTACTCAATTTACAAATGATGTTACATCACACAGTTTATATCCCAAATAGGTAACATTAAAAGATAAAATATAAAACCAGGACCAAGGAGAAGGAAAATACAAACATGCCATCCATACAGGGTAACAGAATTGCTGGGATGGGGCTTCCAGTCTGACTGTTGGTCAAAAAGGTGAACAAAACCAACGAACAATTCTCTTGCCCAGGAGAAAGTAAGACAGCCTTTCAGCAGAAGCAAAGGTTTATTTAGCACTGAGATTAAACGACACTCACTTGAGGACTCTCTATAGTGAATGTTGCATCATGTGATAAACAACATCCTCAACAACAGTTTTACAGTAAACAAGGAAATATTTTTTTATGGTTACCTCTCAAAGCAACCTTTTGATGAAAGCTAGCACATTAATGTTAACACTTGGTGGAGTCAATTCTGAAAGGAGCTAGATTTCACCAATGTTTAATTATATAATCTTTTGTAAGTCCTACTTGATTCAAAATAGCATTCAGGGCTCCTTAAGTTACTTAATCTTTTTAACATTTTGGAAATAATCCATGTATACTAATGCACAGGTAAATCAAATGATACTGAAATTTATGAGAGGTAAAGATCTCCCCCTCACCATCTCCTCTCTAGTAAATACTACTTTAGAAGTAGTCACATTGCTCTTTACTTCTTTTGGAATTGACCAATATAATTTTAAATTACACTTTAATTTCTTGATTTATGAAGTTACACTATATAGATAATTTAACCCAGTGATTTATAAGATGAGGAATTAAAAGAACTTTAACCAACTTCTATCTTTCCTTCTCTGTTTCCTAAATGTATTAGTTATATTATTATTTTCAGTTTTTTTTTCTGGTAGTTGCCTTTAGGGCTAAATTTTGATATATAAATTCTACACAGCATCTATTAACTCTACATACAATTGAGGGTTCTAGCATACTTTACTTCCACCTCATTCCCTTGTTCCTGATTCTATTTATCATATTGTTTTTATATTGTCAAGGTTGATAATAGTTTCATTATGCTCTTTAGTTTTATTTTTCTTCAGTTTTTATATTTGGTTTCGAAATGTTGAGATTAATGAATGACATTTAAAAAATACATAGACATATACTATATGTGTATAGTGATATATATGTGTCACTATGGAAGCAAGTCACATGCTTAAACCCACAGAAAAGGAAATGTGAGTTTTTACACAAACAAACAAACAAACAAACAACTACCCTCCCAATTGAGTTCATTAAAGGAAATTACTTTAAGCATCAAGGTGAAGTGGATTTTCTTGCTGTATTTGGTCTTCTGCGAGCCATACATAGATGTCACTCTTTTCTCTTTTCCACTCTCCCGTCTTTATTGTCAAGTAAAAGGTGTGAGAAAATAGAAGATTTCCACTTCCACACGCTCCCAGTACCTCATCTTCTCACCCCTACATACCCCAAAATAGCCCTTGTTCCTGCTGTTAGCTGAACTCTGCATGCTCCTTGCCAAGCCCTGCTTCTCTCATTCAGCCTCCCATCTCATCTCCTTTCGCCTGTGCAAGGACATGGCTCTGGTTCTTCCCCCTTTCATTCCTCATCAAGTTTAAGTTCCTGCTTGCTATTGGATTTTCCATTAACCTTCAAAGATGCTATTATTTTTCATAACAAATTCTTTCTTGACCTCACTTTCCCTTCCAGCTACCTTTCACTTCTTTCTTCCCTTTATAATAAGAAAATTCTAAAGCCTTACCTATACTCACTCACTGTCTCTAATTTCTTCCCGTGATTCCCAGAAACCACTCAATATCCAGGTAACTATTTACATTTATGTTGCTAAGTCCAGTGGTCATCTTACATGGCCCATCAGCAATTTTGATCACTCTCTCTTCCTTGAAGCATGTTTTTCCCTTGGCTTCCTGGACATGATACTCCCATGATTTTCTGCCTATTTCTGTGGTTACTACTTCTCAGTTTTCTTTGCTCTTTTCTTCTCATCTCTCTGATTTCTAAACATAGGTACATCCTAGAACTCAATTTTAAAATCCCTTCCCTTTTCCCATCTCCATCCACTTCTCTGGAACCTTATCCAGTCTCATATTTTTAATTATCATCTCTACATGATTCATATATGTGTTTGTGTATATATATATGTTTATATATATTTTATATGTAAATATAAATACCTATTTCTACATGTCTTATATCCTCTCTTAAAACCAGACTTATTTATGCAACTTCCTTCTCCATAACTCTACCTGGGTATCTAATAGGCATTTCAAATTTAACATGTCCAAAATTGAAATCCTGATCTTCCCCACCACACCTGCTTCTTTCAGCTTCTTCATCTTAGGCAATGGCAGTTTTATCTTCCAGGTCCTCAGGTCAAAAACATTGGACTCACACTTGATTCCTGTTAGCTTTACTTCCAAAATGAACCTAGAGTATAAAACCTTCTTATCCCCTAGTCTGCTACCATCTTGGTCTGACTCTTCCTTATCTCTTGCCTGAATTATTGTAATAAATTCCTATCCAGCTTCCCTGAGACCCCCTTCAATTTATTCCTAGTACATCAACTCAAGAGATAGATCATGTCATCTCTCTGTTTGAAACTTTTCAGTAATTTCCTATTCCACTCTGACTAAAAACAAACATTTACCAGTAGCCTAATAGGTCCCATGTAATTTGTCTCTTATTACTTTCCTTCTGGTTACTTTCTCTAGCCACAGTGGTGTCCTTGGTGTTCCTAGAACACAACAAGCTTGCTCTTGCCTCAGGCCTTTGCACATAATGAAACCTCCACCACTATCCCCACTTGGGGATGCTCTGCCCCAGATGTCTAAAGGCTAAACCCTTACCTCTTCCAGCTCTTGACTCAGATGTTACTTTCCTAGTGAGACTGCTCTGATAACCCTGTTTAAAATTGCATCCTTGCAACATTCTCCATCTCTGATGAATTATTATGTAACAGTCTAAATATTTTACTTATCTTATTCATCATCTGTTTCCCTCTTCTAAAATTTGGGCTCCATGTGGGAAAGGATTTTGTAATTTCTGTTTATCATGTATTCCCAGCATCTAGAGTTGTGATTAGTTTAAAAAAAAAAGGTTTTAAAATGAATGAATTGTTTTTGATAAGTCAGTCAGAGAAAGACAAATATCATATGATTTCACTCATATGTGGAACTTAAGAAACAAAACAGATGAACATGGGGTGGGGGAAGAGACTGGCAAACGATAAAACAGACTCTTACCTATAGAGAACAAACTGAGGTTTGCTGGAGGGGAGGTGGGTGGGGGTGGGGGGTGGGTTAGTTGGGTTAAATGGGTGATGCGTGTTAAGGAGGGCACTTGTGATGAACACCGGGTGTTGTTATGTAAGTGATGAATCACTCAATTCTACACCTGAAACTAATACTATATTGTATGTTAACAAACTGGAATTGAAATAAAAAACTTGAAAGAAAAAAATGAATGAATTATGTTGTCTACTTTCATATATTTCTTTTTAATTTTGTTAAAATACATGCTGGAATTTTTTCCATATAAGATACATGGTAGTGATGTTTGAAATGTCTATTCTGAGAAATAGTTTGATTTAGAGAATTTTAGATTCAAATTAACTTTTTTTTAGGAATTTGAAGATGTTGCTTTATTGTTCATGATCATTCTTTCAAACTGCAGATTTTGATTCTTTTAGATAATTTATATTACTAACTGGAAGCTTCAGGATTTTATTTCCTTGGTTAATTGATTTTCTAGAGTTTGTGTCTAGGTTTATATCTTGACCTCTCCCCCACCTCACTTGGCTACTGGTGGGTTCTTCATATGTGAAGACCTGTTTTTGTCTCTAGCTCAGATAAATTTTATTCTACCATTTCTTTTTTTTTTTTTAAAGATTTTATTTATTTATTTGAGAGAGAGAGAGAACACCTGAGAGGGGATAGGGTCAGAGGACGAAGCAGACTCCCTGCCGAGCAGGAAGCCCGATGCGGGACTCGATCCAGGGACTCCAGGATCACGACCCGAGCCGAAGGCAGTCGCCCAACCAACTGAGCCACCCAGGCGCCCTCTACCATTTCTTTTTTAACCTTCTTCCATATAGTCCCTGCAATCTCTTTCTCAGCCACATTTTGGACATAGATTGGACCACCTAGATTATCTGCCATGTCTTTTAACTATTCTCTCATAGTCTCCATTGCTTTAAATTTCCTGTTTTGAGAGACTGACTTGATTTATCTTTCAGCTCACTAACTTTAGCTGTGTATATTTTATATGCAGCTCATTCACTTCCTTTTTGCAAATATATTTTTAATTATATCAATCTCATTCTTGTTCTCTGATTGTCCTCTTTTTCATGCAGTTTGTTATGATAAAAATAGCATTCCTCAAATGTCTCTGAGGATGCTAATTCAGATTAAAAAAAAAAACTCTTTTGTTCTGTTGCTTACCCCAAGTTTAGTTTTTTTTTTTTTTTTAACAATTTCATTTTAGACTCTCTTTTATGCTGTTAGTTTTCCATACTTTTTCTGACAATCCTTTGTGGTCTACTCATATTTGGCATTTCCTCTGAAATTCAGTTGATTAGGCCTTTAATAGCATAATATTTACTGATTTTTATCTGGTTATAAATAAATGCATACCCATTGTATAAAGTATATTAAAAAAACCCAGAAAAATGAAAGAGGAAAAAAATCATGCATAAGCCCATCACCTAGAAATAACCACTGTTAACATTTTTGTGTATTTTCTTCCTCACATTTTCAAACACACACTCACACACAGTCCCTACCTCTTGCTATTTCAAGACAAACTAACACACTTTGGGAAAGACAAGGTCTCTGCTGTCATAAAGATTACAGTCTAGTAGCAGGAAAATATAGAACTAAAATAATCACATAGATAGGGCACAATTACAAATTGTTATAAGTGCCATAAAGAAAAAAAAGACATAGTTCTGTGCTTTCACATACAAAATAACAAAAGAAAACTGAGCTGAGCGGGTCACAGGAATGCTTTCTTTAGGGAATTGAGATTATATCCTGAGTAGAGCTTAACTAGGTAAAGAAAGGGAGAAGATCATTTCAGACAGAAGAAACACAAATAAAAAAGCCCTGTGGCAGGAGAGAAAAGGAGCTTTAAAGAGACAGAAAGAAATCAGAGTGCTGGAGCGTGGAAATTAAGGAGAGTATGGGGTAGAGGGACCTAGAAATGTAATTAGAAGTGAGATGGTATAGGGTCTACAGGCTACATTTAGGATTTTTGTCTGCAATTGCAGGACTTTAAGTAGGGGGATTATCATAATTAGATTTAAGGTTTGAAAGGATTACTCTTACTGTAGCCATCAGAGGAACAGAGTGGGTGTCAGGACACAAGTTAGATTATTACAGTTAGTCCAGGTGAGACATGATGATGGCTTAAAGTAGTGTGGTGACATGGGAAGTAGGCAGAAGTAGTTGCAGGAAATGTCAATGATGTCTCTGAGATTTCTGACTAATACAACTAAGTGGATGGGGGTGCTAACTACCAGCAGGGAACAGTACCAGGGAACCATGTTTGTAGGAGTTTTTAACCCTGCCTTGTACATGTTGGATTTGCAGAGCCTCTGAGACAGTCAAGCAAATCCAATTGATTATTCATATTTAAAACTCAAAGAGACGTCTGAACTGCATGGGTGATATAAATTAGAGAATCATAGGCATAAAGATGGGAACTGTAACTATAGCATGGAGAGATGCTTAACATATAGAGCATCTTCCAAAAAAGACTGTACCAGTTTATAATGAATCAGTAGTGCAGGAGTGCCTCTTTCTCAACACTTTGGACAATACTTTGCATTATTAAATCATTTGATCTTTTCCAAATTGACAGGTAAAAAATAGTATATCCCAGATATTTTGGCCTGAACTTTTAAGTAAGATTGAACATCTGTCTCTATGTTTATTAGCCGTTAAGTTTTTCCTATGATTCTTCGTGAATTATGAAAGTATATTTTTTTGGAGAGAAAGTCCATAGATTCACAAGTTTTCAAACTGACCCTTAAATGTTTGAGAGCCACTAATTTGAAGTTGTTCTGAACAAGAAAGCTTAATCTTCCACATGTCAGCCTGCACATATTTAATCACTGCTATCACTGTCCTCTAAAGCTATCTTCTCTACAGGTTATGTGTCCTCAGTGCACTAAGCCTTATGATCTCTGTCTTCTTCAGCTGAGCCCAAGTGTGGCAATGATCATACTGCCTCAGCTTTGAAATCACAATTGCACACTGGGGCACATCCAGCATATTCCACGTTTCTCTCCTCTACTTGTTACATATCCAGAGGCTTCCTGCTTCCAATACTTTCCTCCTCACAAAACAAAGAAGATTTGTTGATGTCTTCATTATACTGTGACTGAAACTCATTCCCTCCCATCTATTAGTTTCTAGCTATTCAATTTGCCGAATATTTCTTTCTAATCACAGAAAGCAATGTCAGCAAATGTGTCAGGCAGGAATGAAGGATGTGAAGGTGTACCTTTGCTATCAGTGAGGTATGCTTTAGGTCACTGAGAGGCATTCCTGGGGCTGTCACTAGAGGGGGTGTGAGTCAAATTTTTCACTAGGAAAAAATCAGAAAGGGGGGTTGGAATGCTGGCGCATAGAAAATACTAAAAACTTAGCAAGGAATTTGGGGAGTTGTGTCCTGACCTGTACACCGAGTGTGGGTTTGGACCTGCTGAAGCATAGCCCCTTGTGGAGGATCCACATGCAGCTAGGAACTCTAGGCAGGATTGACAGTGAAGGCCAGGGAGATGGAGGGAAGAGCAATGTTCTTCATTCTTCCAGAGACGGGTAGGTATGTAGGGTTGGTAGGATTCCTGCCTATACTTTCCAATGTAGGTGCATGCCACTTTGATCTTGCTTTGATATGTGCATATACTATCTGCTATGGCATATTTTCTTGGATGTGACATGCGGCAGCTATGTTCAGTGAAAAGAAATCGTGTAAGACACAAGTTTGGGAGCCATGACATTGGATGGTAAATAAACATTTAGTGAGTCTTTCTTGGTACAAAAACCATTCTAAAGACAATAGAGGGTAGATAGTAAAAGAAAGAAAGAAGAAAAAAAGTACAACCTTTGGACTTGCAGTTTTAAATCTTGTTTGGAAATTGATAATATTTCTGTTTCTTCCCTGGCTTCATATCATCGACATCTCCTTCTTTATCCCATATTTTTCATCCTTTTATCTCTGTGTCTGTATTTGATAACAAACTCAAGTCTATTTTCTGGTATAAAAGAGCCTTTTCTTGGTCTGACATTGCTCACCTATCCCCACTCTGAACCCTTCCCTGTTGCTCTCAGCCAGTCCACAACCAGACTTCTTGAAAGTGGTCTTATATCTGTCACTCCTCATCCATCCAGTCCTCAGCTGTGCTTTGGGTTTTGCCCACATCACTCCATGAAACTCTTTGGGCAAAAGTCACAAAAGATTGCATCCCTCCCAACTCTACCTCCCAGCTACTTACTTTCCTTCCACACAGGTAATCATGGTGAGGAATTTTTTTATGTTATTCCAGAGATATTCTATACATATACAACAAAATATATTAAAACATCTTCCCTCTTTACATATAGATACCCTGCTGTACACACTGTTTTGTGCTTACCTTTTCAAGCATACAATGTATCTTGGTAACCTTTCCATATAAGGAAGTTATTTATTCTTTTAAAGTGCAAAGTGTCCATAATGTGAAGCTAATAAAATGTATTTAGCCAGTCTGGTTTAAAAGGAGATTTAATAGTTTTTGATATTTTGCTATTACAAACAGTGCTGCAATGAATGAAGCCCTACATATGTCAGTTCGCATTGGTGTGAGAGTAATTGCAGGACAGATTCTGAGCACTGGAATTGTTGGGTCAAAGGTATGTGCATTTGTAATTTTAGTATGTGTTGCCAAGTTGTTATTACTCTTGCCAGAAATATGGGCAAATGCCTGTTTCTCTGCCCTATGTAAACTTTTTGGTTTTTGCTAATCCAATAGGTAATAAGCAGTATCTCTAAATTTAACTGAGCATATTTTCTTATGTTTAAGGGCCATTTAAGATTGACTTCTTTTTAAAATATGAATCAGATCATGTAACACTTCCTCATTATTTCTGATAGCTCCTCATCACCTGTGAGACACAGCTCAAACCCCTGAGATGATCTTTCCTCCCCTCCAGCCTCCTTTGTCACTGCACCCTTTCCCCCACTCAGTAATCAAGGCTCCATGAACTGCTTTCTATTCCAAGAACACTATGTTCTCTTTTTCCGCTGTCTGCAGTGTCCTTATTCCCAGGCCTCATGTGGTTAAAAGCTATTGTCTGTTAGGACTCAGCTCCTCAGGTAAATCCTCCATATGGTCTGCACTTAGCTCTTAGGTCCTTGTGATTTTTCTATTTCTAGCATAATTCTTGACAAGATGTTGGTCCTTAATAAATATTTGCTGAATGGATGAAAGGCTGACTATTATTACAACTAAAAAGACTTTGTAATTGAAAAATACACACACACGCACACACACTGGTTTCTAAGCAGGATTTCAGCAGCCACATGAAAGTTTCCAGATACACTTATCCTTACTCTATTGCTATCCATGAATTTTTTCTCTTCCCCCCACCGAATTAAAAACAACCATGGAAATAAATGCCTCTTAGAGTCCATGCAATTCAAAGTCATTTCGCTTTGAGATGTGATGGTTCAAGGGAAGTATGGTCTTTGTGGTAGCTTTAATTAAACAAAAGATCAAATTTTTGATACACTATGTAGTTCTAGTTTTCTTTAATGTGAATGGATCTGATACCTACCCTTGGGCAAAATAATGTCATCTTAAACAGTGAGACCAAATTTTACCAGATAATGACAGCAATCTTTTTTTTTTTAAAGATTTTATTTATTTATTTGACAGAGAGAGACACAGCAAGAGAGAGAACAGAAGCCGGGGGAGTGGGAGAGGGAGAAGCAGGCTTCCTTCTGAGCAGGGAGCCCGATGTGGGGCTCAATCCCAGGACCCTGGGACCATGACCTGAGCCAAAGGCAGAGGTTTAACAACTGAGCCACCCAGGTGCCCTGACAGCAAACTTATGTAGCAACTCCTTTCCCTTGTAAATCACACCCATCTATTTCACTGAGAGGTGTCTTCTGTGATTCCATGATTCATGTGAATCATTCCTGTTCCCGCTGCTATTCCAGGCATAGAGTGAGCCTGAGATCCTCCTTTATTGCTGCCCTTGTCTTTAAAAAGCAGGGAATTCTTTTCCACAAGTGCCTTTATCTCTCCTGAGCTGAAGCCTGAGGAGTCAAGATGCAGTGGCTGCCACTGCGGGCCAGGGCGACACAGTGGCCATGATCTCTCCCAGGCTGCCACAGTTTAGCTCCTTGATAGTCTTTGTCAATCACCAATATCCTTACTCTTCCTGAGGCTGAGGACTAAAAGCTGCTATAAGATCAGGTGATATGCTTCATTAAAATAAGCCAAGGAAAAGTTAAATTAAGCCTGGCTATGTCACAATATTTGGTTTATTTATTTATTGAGCACCTACCATGAGGCAGGTTTTATTCCATGCACTAGAAGTAAGGCATGGATTCCAATTCTGGACAGGGTTGAGTGTTGTTTTTTTTTTAAACGGGAGACTTGCAGCTTCTACTTAGATCAATGATTGTAGAATAGACAAAGGAATTTGGTTTGGGGATGGGGGGGAGGTTCACTTAGCTTCACTTGCCAGCTATATCAAATTTCATTTTTAGCCAGTCAGGATCTTTACTATAAACTCATTCAGCAAATGTCTTAAAAGTGTTTTATTATTTTTTTTTAGTATCTATTCATGTCAGGTACTGTTTTAAAGCACAACAAGGTAAACTAAAGTCTATAAAATATGGCTATTGCTCTCAACAACTTATATTCACATAAATAAGTATATAAATAATTATGAAAAAGACTGGCAAATGTCACAACAAAAATTTCAAAAATTGACATCCAATTTGGGAAATATTATTTCCAGTACTTGTGCAACAAGGTGGATCAGAGGGGACCACCTAGTGCAGTGGGTCAGGAAAGATGGGAAGAGCTGTGGAAATGGGGACCAGAGAAGAGCTAGAGTCATTCTCAACAAACATGCTTGAATTAAGGCTGCAAGTGCCAAAAGTGATGGATATAAAGGGAACCAGGAAATAGTCCATTTTGGCTAAAGCTCAGGGTATGTGAGGATTGGGTACAAGATCAAAAAGGAATGCACATGGCACCAGATCAGGTATGTTTAATAGTAGAAAATTTTGATGCCAGTTTATTAATAATGGTAAAATTATATTCAGAAATTGAGAAGGCAAGGAAGAACATAATAGTACTTTAGATTTTGTTTCATCAAATCAATCATTTAAAAGCATTTGAGATTTAAAAAGTTATTTTTGTTTTTCTGGAACATTCACATATATAGAACCCCTGAAAAATACTGACTATATATTGGGTTTTACTGTTGTACTATTTCTAAATCAAGCTGGGTTTTTTTCCCTAGTGCATTTCCCCAAAATTCGCATATGTGGTATTCACCATCCCCTTGGGACTGTAAACGAGAGTGCTCTAAGTGGGTAGTGGCATCTTGACCCATGCTGCGGGCAGAGGCCAGGAGAGGAGAGGCATAATTGCGGTGGTCTGGGAGACACAGGCTGTCTCTTGTGGAAGGGCCACGGCCATCACTCAGAAATGGCATCTCTCCAGAGGTACTACAATGTCACAGCTCAAAGTTGTACATTCTTCCAGAGCCATTTGGGAGCATAAAGGGTTACTCTAACCCCTGCTGTGTTTCATATGGAGATTTTATTCCTTTGGGGTTCCTGTAGTTGTTTGCTACAACCCTCCATGATATGGTTCTCCAAGGATTTTGCCCTAATAAAGTGCTACCATTAAAGGCCTTTTCTGTGCAGTCACTGTTCTGTTCCAGAGGAGGTACATTGAGAGAATCTTCTGATTTCAAATTTATATTTTTTATTTAAATAGAAATAATAATCAAGTCAAAAATGGGCAGAAGACATGAAAAGACACTTCTCTGAAGAAGACATACAAATGGCTAACAGACACATGAAAAAATGTTCATCATCATTAGCCATCAGGGAAATTCAAATCAAAACCACATTGAGATACCACTTTACACCAGTTAGAATGGCCAAAATGGACAGGGAAAGAAACAACAAATGTTGGAGAGGTTGTGGAGAAAGGGGAACCCTCTTACACTGTTGGTGGGAATGCAAGTTGGTACAGCCACTTTGGAAAACAGTGTGGAGGTTCCTCAAAAAATTAAAAATAGAGCTACCCTATGACCCAGCAATTGCACTCCTGGGTATTTACCAGGACACCAAAGACACAGATGTAATGAAAAGAAGGGCCATATGCACCCCAATGTTCATAGCAGCAATGTCCACAATAGCCAAACTGTGGAAAGAGCCAAGATGCCTTTCAACAGATGAATGGATAAAGAAGATGTGGTCCATATATACAATGGAATATTACTCAGCCATCAGAAAGGATGAATACCCAACTTTTACATCAACATGGATGGGACTGGAGGAGATTATGCTAAGTGAAATAAATCAAGCAGAGAAAGTCAATTATCATATGGTTTCACTTATTTGTGGAACATAAGGAATAGCATGGAGGACATTAGGAGAAGGAAGGGAAAAATGAAGGGGGGAAGTCAGAGGGAGAGACGGAACCATGAGAGACTATGGACTCTGAGAAACAAACAGGGTTTTAGAGGGGAGGGGGGTGGGGGATGGGTTAGCCCCGTGATGGGTATTAAGGAGGGCACGTACTGCATGGAGCACTGGGTGTTATATGAAAACAATGGATCGTGGATCACTACATCAAAAACTAATGATGTATGGTGACTAATGTAACATAATAAAAAAATAGGAATAATATGTTCATCAGATATTTCTTATAGTGGCCTTTGAGGAATGAATAAATTAAAGCCTAACAAAAAGTTAGCATAGAAGTATATATATATATGTGTGTGTGTGTGTGTATGTACGTGTGTGTGTATGTATGTGCACATCTGTTTTTGATTTTATAAATTTTCACATGTAAAATCAAACTCAAGAGGGCACAGCCTTTCTTTCCAATCCTTGGACTCCAATAAGAAAATGCATTTTCTCATGACTTAAAACTTGATATCAGAATCTTTTATATTTTGGTAGGAAGTAAACCAGAACTCCAAGAAAATTTTCCTGGAGCCTGCCTTGCTCATAGACAGTAGGTCAGAAGCATATCAGACCCTGCAGAAGAAGGGTGGGCACTCTCCCAATCCCCTCAAAGCTGCCCCAATTTCTGAGAGTAATTTTAAACCTGTGTATGGGGAAGCCATCAGCATCAGTCAAAAGAAACATGTAGATGCTATTTCAGGGTGTTTCATTCCAAGAATGCGGTTTCTTTCTGTATGTGGTTTCTTTTAAATGTACAAATCTTTATTCCCCAGGTTTGGGAGAAGAAAAAAAAAATGAAGATGGATATACATAATTAAAATAAAACCAGGGCCATAGGAGACTGTTTATAGAACAGTGAAATGTTTTCATAAAAAAAAAAAAAATCAGAAAATCTCAGCCCCCCCACCCCAAAGGAGAAGCTCTTTATTTTTCTTCTATATAACTTATGCAGTACCAAAGCTGTGTGAACCCTGGTGATGGGGCCTCCAGAGGCAGAGGCAGGCTACAATGTCAGTGTCAAGGCATATGGCCAGTCTCTGCCAAGTTCACCTGCCAGAGAGCTCTAATTCTCTCCCTGAACTTTAGTAAAATGAATCATTCTTAGCTGAGGCTACTGATAGATTGAACCAAGAGCCTGAGAGTTTACTGCTCACTGGTATGAAGCAGAGTCCACTGATTAGAAGTGTGG